TATATATATATATATACAGTATACAATACATACATGCATACACAGACCCCAGATTCCCAAATCTTCAACTGTCTCTTACCTCTTCCAGTAGGGGTGCAGTAATGAAGCAGGGAGCCTGGCAGGTGGTCATGTGATCACCAACCTGGCTTCCTGATTAGATGTCTCACCAGGGATGTGTGCAGTGTCTCACCATGGCTGTGTGCGGTGTCTCACCAGAGATGTGTGTGGTGTCTCACCAGGGCTATTTTCATTGTATCACCAGGGCTGTACGGTGTCTCACCAGGGTTGTGTGTGGTGTCTCACCAGGGCTGTGTGCAGCGTCTCATCAGGGCTGTGCAGTCTCACCAGGGCTGTGTGTGGTGTCTTACCAGGGCTGTGTGGTGTCTCACCAGGGCTGAGCGGCCTTCCCAGTGCTCTGTGTGGTGTCTCAGGAGGCTGTGTGGGGTCTCGCAGGTGCGGGCAAGTGTGGGAGGTGGAGATGTGTGGGCTGGCTCTGTAAACAGCTACCGCAAGGTCCCCACAAGACTTCCGCTATGTCCCCAGCAAGCGCGGGACCTCATAGCAGCCAAATTTAAGTAAAATTTAAAGCGTCGATATCGGCGCTTAGTATCGGGGCATTTTCACGATTATGGGTACTCGTGAAAATGCCTATTATCTGCACCGATACTGATACTAGTTACAGTATTGGTACATCCCTAGCAACCACAGACACATAGGACTGCGACTGTTATGTGAAGAATGTAAGTGGCAAGTGCTCTATATATATCGCTGAGCCGGTCACAGAGAGATCTTTGTGATCTCTCCACCAGCTCAGTGAATAAAAACACGGCAGACCTGGCACACCTTTGCCCACACGACTATAACGTTAATAGTTACAAAACATATCAAGCAGTTATTAAAAACAAACAAACAAACAAAGAGAAGACTCAGTTTCAATTGGATTGGCACTTGTTGACAATAAAAAGAAAAATTATTATTTCCAGACATAGCAGAAAATCAGAACAGTGTGTGCTTTGCCTGCCACCCATGATGGTGTTACCTGTTTGCCTAAGGACTGGTTGGTGGCTGCCAACTGCAACATTCTGCTGCTGCAGGATAAGGTCCTCCGTGGTGTTCTCTGGAAGCATTTTCCTGGTCTAGGTGAATTTTTCCAGGTCATACGGATATCTATGTTGAAGATGTGCTTCCCTTGGCAGCAGTGGCTCGTGAGCTTATTTTGCACATCATAGTTTGATACAGACTGAAGGCTTGAAGTGCTGCTGAGAACAACTTTGTTTCTATTTCAAAATACTTTGCCCTTCAGTAACACAGGCTGCGACTATTCTTAGCAGCCTATCAGAGGCCAGAGGGGCGGGGCCTAGCCCAACAGCATAGTGTGTTGTGCCTGAAAACTGCTTGAGGCATCAACCATTTACATTGACTTAATTTGCATTCTTTTTGTGCTTAATGTGACTGTGCAAGCTTAGAAAACTTTTAGAGCAAGGTTAGCTAAGACCCAGCCTCTCTATTTGGCTATTACAGCTATGATTGTTGGATTACGTCTCCTTTATTACTAGAAAAAAAGAGCCCAAACTTTTCAGGCACCTAAAACTTGCTCAGTGTTTAATAGTCTTTTATGTAACCTTGACTCGCAAGGTTAATTTTCGTTCTTTTTTTTTGCATGTAATTTATTTATTGAAAGTTTTACAACGTTACAAAACAGGCAGACATGCCGCAAGTATTACAAGTTCACAGTATTGAGAAGTAGCAGAAATGTTATGCAGGTAAACATCAACAAAATACCAAATATAATTACAAGTATTACATTCACTTACGAGACCATAGTGCCTAATATACATACGTTGTTATTATTGAGGGATAAAACGAGCATAGCATTGGTTAAACTAGGTAACGTCTTGCTGAGGAACGTCAAAGGACATCTAGGGGTCCCAGGGATGCAGATATTTTAGCCTTGTGGTACAACTCTGTATAATTTTCGTTCTTATAAAGGTTGTCTGTGAGGATGCTGTTAATGTCAATCATGCAGCTATACAGTGTGTATGTGTACATATATAAATATATATATATATATATATATATATATACTGTATATCTCAATG